CTCTGCTCTGTGGAAAGCCCCACAGGAGCTTCACAGGGGTGGCAGCCACCCATCCTGAGCAGGGAAGACTGGGGAGATAAGGTGAAACTGTGAGAAAACTAGAGTTTTGAAGTTTCTTTTGTGAAAAAAGAGATATTTGCCCTGGGAGGGAGGTACATCTGTGCATTTGTGTCCGGTGCACATTGGAAAAGCTGGGGAAGAGAGCGCCGTTTTTCCATTAGTGGTATCTCAGCTGCTATCTGCGGCAATGGAGGTCAAGCATTTCAGGCAGGAGAGCGTTTTTGGGAAAGTCACTTGTGTCTAAAACGTAGCAAACACCCTACTTACAGGTGACTGTGGACTGGGCTAAAGTAGGAACCTTTGCAGCATTGTCTAAATCAACTAAATATGACATTTAATAAGTCACTGGGAAAAAACAGTGTCACCCCCAGTTTGCCTCTTCCACCTTACTGTCGCCTGCAGCACACCATCGTTGCGGTTTGAGCAAGCAGGTCAGTGAAGCAGAGAGGATCTGGCTTGGGGTGGTGGTGTTGGGTCAGAGGACACAATTAACGCTTTAGGTGCAGCCTTCCCTTGCCCCAGCGCAGCCCAGCTCCTTCTCAGCACAGGCACAAGAGGATTTGAGAGCTGAAGTTGCAAAACCAGGCATACTGCGTCAGACCAAGGGTCTGTCTAGCCAAATTGTTGCTCATGGATGAGTACAAGAGTGCGGCGAGCCCACAGCGATGCGTTTAAGTCCGTATTTCAAAGTACGCACAAGCTTTTCTATGCCCTCCGCTTCAACGTAAAGTCTGTCAACCTCAAAAATATTCATGAAAAATGTCATTGGTAAGGTAGATTATCCCCGTTTATAGATGGGGAAAGCCTTCACCAGTGTAAGTGATTGGCCCAAGGTCAGCAGCAGAGCTGCCAATGTACCTCATCTTTTGTGAGTCACGGTGCAAACTTCAGATGATCCCCTGGAAGAATGATCCTTGCTTGAATTACGGAGAACTTTAGAGGTTAAGACGGAAAGCAGGAGTGTTTGAACAGTGCAGTGGGATTAATCTTTTCAGCAGCTGAGGCTGGAGAACGCAGGGTGGAAGGCACGTTCGGCTTCCTCTGTTAGCGATAAAATCGTTGCATTTGTTTTTAATCTAAAGCTGAAGTCATCTAGACTAGAACTGTAATTTTTTCCTTTTGGGAACATGAATCCTAGCAGGAAGGAGCAAAAATTTCATTAAGGAAAAAAGCAGGACTCCTGAGATTCCCAGATGTGGAAGCAGGGAGTGCTCCTGCAGTGCACAAAAGGCAGACCAAATTCTGAGGTTTTCAGAAATCATGAAAGTTAGCAAGCTTGCTATTTGCCTTAGAGTTTCAAAGCCTTTAGGATTCATGCTTTCAAGCTTTCCCCCCCTACTATTATGATTAGATCTTTCCTACTTTATTTTTTTAATGAAAATTGAAATTTTTCTCATGATCGCTTGACTCCAGGAGGCAGAGCTTTAAAAATATCTTCTGTTGCCAAACTGGCAGGAGTGTCATGAAACGTGGTAACAAGCTGTCCCAGTTGGGTTTGGGAGAGCTGCAAAATACCTTTTCCTAGTAGCAGGAAGGTAGGATGGGAAGTTATTTTAAGCTTCAGCCAACAGGGTTTAATACCTACATTGGTCCTGCTTGATTTTCAACATATATTTGGTTTGGGATGCCAATAAAGCTGTCGCAAGGATATATTCCTCAAAGGACTCCCCATGCAATTCTGTCCTTCCCACGTCTAGGCTAGTTTCTCTTCTGAGGATGGCCCCCAGGTTTTCACAGCAGAGCCCCCACTAAAATCAGTGTCACTGATGTAAGTAAATGGGCCCCCAAGGTCGCTTCGGCAGTCTTGCGCCAGCATGGCGGTTACTCAGAAGCAGCACTTGGACGTTTATTTTTCATCATAAAACACTGCTTACGTACGTGAAGTGGTGCTCTATCTCAGGTAACTGGAACCTCTTCCAGAGCAGAGAGCAGGGTTTGCTGGGAAGAGGCATGTTTTCTAACTGGCTTTTGGGTTGTTTCTCTGAACAAGTGACATTCTTCTGAAATCTGTTTCAGTGTGCCAGGAGGGGTTTTGCAGGCTGGATCCCCGTATCTTTGGGTGCGATTAGATCACTAGCTCACTGCCTTCCCTCACAGTGACCCAGGGCTCAACCAGGCCTCCCAGTGCTGATGGAAATCCTACAAAAAGTCCTTTCAGAGATCCATGTGCAGCCCCACAGTTGGGAGACGACATGACCTAGTCCATCTTTGCAGCAGATGCTGCGATGGAGAACCCCATCCTGTGGGAAGGACCTGGGGAAAGGCATGCAGAGCCGCTCCCAGGCATGCTGCATCTCCCAGGGGTTTCCCTGTGTCCAAACTGGCATAGCTGGACATGGCTGGGGTCACTGAAATGCCCTTCTGCAGCACCCAGGGCTGCTCGCCCTTAGGACCAGCCCTGCTTTGACCGCAGCCGAGCCACTCTGGGTGCTGCCAGTGCCTCAGGGCCGCACGGCCATTCTGTGCCTGGGTGCACCCCTTCCCCCTGGAGTGCATCATGACATAAGAAACGAGAGCTGACAGCCGTATTTGCTGGGTTTTGCCTCTGCTCTGTCACACAAGACATTAAATTGACTCTTGGCTGTGCTGTCTTGGGGAAAGGTATGAAGCCTTTGTACTTCGAGGATCGCTCCTGCATGCAACGGGAGCAGCGCCGAGGTGGCAGGAGGGGTTATTTCACCTCTTTGGCAGGCTTCGGCGCATCCCTCTGGTCTCCTGATGTGCAAAAGGAGGTCCCGTGTTGGCAGTGCAGGGTGGGGAACAGGTAGGAGATCGCGTGGGCAGAGCAGGTAGGATGCCCGGATCCATCCAAAGAAAAATGTCTTTACTGAAAGAGTGGTTAAACATTGGAACAGGCTGCCCAGGGAAGTGGTTGAGTCACCGTCCCTGGAAGTATTTAAAAGACGTGTGGATGCGGCACTTAGGGACATGGTTTAGTGGGCATGGTGGTGTTGGGTTGACGGTTGGACTCGATGATCTTAGAGGTCTTTTCCAACCTTAATGATTCTATGATTCTATCCTGGCTCTGCCACTCGCTCATTCAGGCAAATGGTCTGCACTGGGTTTCCTGCCCTGGAAAGTGCCCGGTGCTGCCAGGACACGGCATGAGCACAGCCTGGGGTGAGCTGCTCCCTGCAACGCTCAGCATAGGGTCGATGCCCCCAGCGGGTCCTGCCCCACTGCCGGCAAAGAGGGCATCTTGTCAATTAAACAGGCATTGCTGCCCTACACACCCTCGTGTGAAGTCCCTGATAGCTCCCAGACACAGGGCACAGTGGTGAGCAGGGTGAAAAGTCCGGCTTTTTATTGCTTTGGGGTTTTTTATCCCCTAAGTTTGCGGCATCATTAACATTCTGCTAGAGAAGAGATGGGTTTTCTTCAAACATCTCGGCTTCTTGGCCTTTATAACTCACTGTAGGATGACAAAACGTGGGAGCTGTAAGAAGTGGTTTAGCAAAACATAATATCGGTTAGGAAAGAAGGGAAGGAGCATGGGCAGGTTTAGGGTTTTTTACTTCACTAATTTACAGAAACACAGCCCTTTACAATCTGTTCAAAACCAAATTTAAGCTGAATAATGGGAAAGTATAAAAAACTATTAACACTGAAAAGAAGACTGCAAGATCAGGTTAACGATGCAGTTTGTTTTCCGTGTGCCGCTCTGTTTGTGTGGACAGTTTCACTGTTTATAGGTAGACGTATTTTTATGTTTGAAAGTCTCCAGTATTCAGGGTTTTAAATGCTGAGGAGAAAAGTTGCTTCACCTACATGGCAACTTAGGTGAGCTGTGTAAGATAGCAGTATTTCTGTCTGTTTTAAGCTTTATTTAATGTTTGTTTACAAACTACGCTGAGCCCAATTTGAATTAATCAGGGTTATTTTAAGCAGGTTTTATTTGGGGGAAAAAGTAACCAAAGGAGGCACTTGATCCGTATGTTGTGTGCAGAGCACAGTCTCGTTCAAAGACACAGGGACTAGGAGGCAGCGTTATCTTTTAGTTTACAAGTTCAATGTATATGTTTTTTATTTGATGATGGAAAGAAAATTCAGTGTGCTGAAAATGCAGTGATCCTTTTTCATTGCGTTTTGCAATTTGTTCCAGTTTAGAGTATTCAGTGCCGAGGGGTGCTTGGCACCCCCTCCAAAGCTGCCCTCAGCCCCCCCAGGTTTTAGGAGACTTATTCAGCCGGTCTGATCTCAGCGCGGTTTCGGGATCACCATCTCAGGATGCTGAGATAGGGCATTTGCCTGAGTGGGAAAGGCTCTTCATGTGAAATGATGAGGAAAGCTGCTGTGAAATGAAAATCAGTGCTCATTCACAAATCCTGGCCTGGGAAGTTTACAGAAAACTCAGTGCCACAACCCGGTTAGCCTGGGCTGATGTTCACATTCATTCAGATTTCTGAACCAGGCGTATCTTGACCTTCCTAAATCAGTCACCTGTAAAGGGCTTATCCTTCCTCCCAGAAGTTTCTTCCTGTTCGGCCAGACCCCAGCTGATGGTGTGCGGGAACGGGGACAGGCCGTGCTTTACACCAGTAACTGCAGCTTTCTTTAGGTTGGTCTGTTTTACGTACGTACATCTTGGTTCAGAGCACTTGAGAGCATCCAACAGTCCAGTTACCCTTCCACATGATTATTTTGTATTTGGGATCAAAAACTGTCAACACTTGAAATCCCTTTGCTTACGAGAGGAACTTGGCAGTGTGCGGGGAACCATTTGGGGCTGGTTGCACCAGTGTAAAAATGGACTGTCTGGGCTGTAAGCTGTTGTGGACACCACGGTGCATCGCTGGCAAGAGCATCGCCGTTGCTGTAAGGAGGGAGTCCGATCCAGTATCTCCCGGAGTCATGCGACCCAAGACCCAGCCTACTTTCACTCGTTGGCTTCCTGATGGTTTTATGAATAAGCCTGTTGCTCTCCCCTCTTCTCCTCGCAGCTATGGGTAAACCAAGAAGATGGAGTGGAGGAGGGAACCAGCGATGTGCAGAATGGCCATTTGGATCCAAGCGCCGACTGCCTCTGTCTCGGCAGGACCGTTCAGAACCGAGACCAGATGAGAGCCAACGTCATCAATGAAATCATGAGCACCGAGCGCCACTACATCAAGCACCTCAAGGACATTTGCGAGGTACATGGGGGTTGTGACGCTGGGGTACTGCAGTAGGACACGGGATGGGCTGTTGAGAGCTGAGGACTGGGTTTGTCCTAGGGCGATGGGGGAAAAAGATGCAGTGTGTTTGAGTACTGTGTCTAATAGAGGAGCAGCATCTGTCAATAAGTATTGATACTTCTGAGAATTTTCTGCTGGATCTGATAATTACCTTTAGTTTGTATTAACTAAAAGTAGAATTTTCTGACCTTTTTTCCATACCTCTGACTAAAAACTGATGAAGTTGAGATCCTTCAGCAGTCTTCTTAATTAAAACCCAATGCCATCTACTTATGAACTTGTGATTGAGGAAATTAGGTTGTAATTAAACCAATCAGTTACCCATTTCATCTGTGTCTTTCACACTGGGTTCACAATTTCCCCTGGCTCAGGATGGGCCCCCATTTGCCTTTTCTTACGGGGAGACTGAGAGCAAAGTGTTTTCGCCGTGGGAAATGAAGTACGTTACATTTACCCAGTGCAAGGGAACCGGCAAGCAAATGAACTTTGGTGACTGACCCTTCGCATCCTCAACTTGGTTCTTCTTCATTATGGTACAGTTAACCCTTACAACCCCTTACTGTCCTGCAGCACACAGAATCAGTGCCACAAGCTAAGCCCAAAGTGCAGTGCATGCGGTGCTGGGTGTTTGGGAAGGAGAATGCACGGCTGTGCCGGAGAGTGTTGCAGGACAGCTTGGGCATTGTGTGTAGAGCATATACTTATCACTAAGAGGCAGAAGTTTTTCAGCACTAAAATCAAAGTCCGTGGCTTTCAGCTCATCCCTCTGAGTGTTTAGGATTTAGTGAGCCTGTGCCCAGTCTTTGCAGAGTCAATGTGCTGAAGCCCCTTGTGAGTTCTGCTTAGAAACATGTCTTCCTCCCTTCATACTTGCTACTTTTCTATTGACAAGGCAAAGCAGCCATCCAAAAAGCATCTATGACGCTTTTCAAATACGGAAGAGTCTTGGGATTTCGATTTGGAAACAAATGAGCTTAATTTCGCTGTGCTATTTCAGTCCGAGGGCTTTGCATTGAAGAAGGGAAGAACTGCAGAAACTTTTCCACATATTGTTTCTTTTCCTGCATTTGCACTTTTCTGTTGAAAAACTAAATAAACCTTAACTTGCATTTCCCAGCCATGTCACCATGCTTTTGCCAAATCAGATTCTCAGGAGGTACAGAGAGGTATAGCTTCGGTGACATCTGTGGGATAACACTGATTTACAGCATCTAATGATATGTCCCAGGTATGAAAGAGATCTCTAAGGCTCTTGCCTTGCTCTGTATGATGCAAAATGGTATTGAGGGAATAAATCCAGGTAGAGCACCGGGAAATTATTCAGCTGCCTCTCTTAAAGGAGGAGGAGGACTGAAATGAGCATTCTTATCTGCAAAATGATGGGCTGTCCCTTGCTGGAGAGAGCCTCATTGTGCTCAATTTAATCAGAGCAATCCATTTGCCTCGAGAAGGCTCGGAGACAGCTCAGTCATCCCAGGCATTTCGGCATGGCATGACGTGACTGTTTCTGTTTGTGCATAAGAGGAGGGGGGCTGGAGACGGAGAGACGCGGGCCGGCTTGAGCTCCTCCCAGCGCTACTGGATGAATTTGTACAGAGGTGTTATTTGTGCCGAAGAACGAGTAGACACCAGACAACCGCTGATGAGATGCAGAAGTGCTGTTGACAGTGGCAAATTCCCCTCTTCCCTGTGCTCTTTATTTTAAGGTGTCAGGACAAACAGCAGCGATATGACGTATTGGAGGGGATGAAAGAGGAGTTCTGGCTGGGCGGCAAAGGTTGAGCCTGATTTAGTACTGAGTTCAGCAGTGTGTAGTTATACTCTTGTTGCTGAGCTATAACGAATAACAAATCCTAATACGTGAGGCACCTTAAGATGTGTGGTTGTTATCAGAGGACCGTAGCCCCTGCTAGGTGATTAAGAGCCCTCCAGTTGCTCTTTTCTGCTTCAGGATGTATTTCCACAACCTGCTACTATATTATTATACACCGTGTTATTATTCATAATACCCATGGCACTAGTCCTGCCAAGTTAGGAGCTCACAAGCTAGCCAGCACCAGAATGAAAATTACCTGTGCAAGCCAAGACCTGCGTGAAGCAGCTGGCTTGGAGGGGAATTCCCCATCACAGCAAAGCCATATTGCCCTGGCGACTGCTGCTGTGGTGCCCTTGCTTAGAGTATGAAGGACTGACTGCTGCTTGGTGAAACACTTTTGTGAAGATTTTTATTAGGGGTAAGAAGTGGAGTTTTCCCTGGACTGCGTTATCAGGAGTGCATGGATCATTATTCTGAAATATCACCAAGGGGAAAAGAAAGAAAAAAGAATTTAGCCTTAAGGAAATATCCTGCAATAGGGATTTCAGGCTTAGCAGTCAGAGCTTAGAAAAATAATAAGCTACTGAAAACTAGGCTTTTATAATGGGTAGCAATAGCCAGCCTTACTGGCAGGCAGCGCTGCTCACTCGCTGTCCTGTAAAGCACCACATACATGCATGGCCATCTCCAGGCTTGAAAAGATATCCCCCTGCACCTGGGGTTTGATCCTGGGAAGATGCAGAAGGACGCAGGATCTATCTGTGATGTGGCACCAGTGACACCGGCAGAGCAGCCGAGGTGCTCGGTCAGGACAGGTACCTCGATGAGAGCAGAGGGCCAAGAAGGTGGTTTGAGCTGTAGTGTGCAGTGGGGAGCGCGGGTGGAATAACGAGACGCAGGAGGTCTACAAAGAGCAGGGTGCCGTGCTTTGAGAAACGAGCAGGATTTGGACCAGCATATGGGTTAGGAAGACAAGGCTAAATTTAAGGAGGTGTTAGAAGGAGAAGTGACAGAGCTTGGATGGGAACAGTGAGGCAATTGGCCGATCAAAGGAAACCTCTGTATTATGAATAATTTGGGGGTGGGAGGTTAGAAAGGCCAGCCAACTTCCAGTGCTGCATTTTGCTCTTTTCCAAGTAATTTCACTTTGAATTTATTTTTTAATAATTTTGACTGGATTCCACCTAAGCTTTGCTTTGGTGCCAGCCCAGCTCTGAATGCCGTGTGGAAAACATCCTTGTTGCATCTTAGCTGTCAAGCTGAGTCTGTTGTGCAGAGCTGATGGGACAAGTTTTCACGTGGTCTGGATGGCATTAGCCTGAGTCATTCTCGGAGATGGATAAAAAACACTTTTTTGTGCTGCCTCGGAGCAAAGCAGCATAAAACCTTGGCGGCAATGTGGCCCTCCTTCAGAGGACCACTTCTGAGGAGCTGCTGGCCCCGTTGTATGACCAGTTTCTCATCTGTGGATAGCAGACTGGAGGGCGACTCTGCAGAAAGCTCTTTGGATCAATGGCGATATATGTACTACATATACGTATTCCCCAACATGCAATTTGTAGCTGTGTTTCACAGCCTGCTTGTGCACTCCTCGTTTTTCTGTTTTGGAGCTGGCTGCTTCTTGCCCTTTGGAGGAGCAGGCTTGTGTTCCTGCAGGACTTCATTTTATATTTTAGATGGGCCCCAGTGCGATCACAGTGCCTGACATTCAGTACTTGCTGTAGACCGGTATTTGAATAAGTGCTTTAGAGTCCTGACTGCCTGGGACCAGACACGGCTCTAGTTTTCCTTTTCGATTCAAACAGCCTCAGCTTTGTTCTTGTGCTTATTCTTGCTATGTGCATATCAGCACAACGCTCAGCTGGATGCTGTGAGCACTGCTCTAGAGAACAATATTTTTATAGCCCAAATGGTGCTGGTCCAAACTGAGGGATGGTCTACAGGACAGTGTAGACAACCCCCAAACTGGCTCAGAGATGGAAAGAAACTGGAATATCATCACAACTGCCTTTGAAGTTATAGCCTGCAGTGGCTATCATCTCCTCATTCTCTCCTTCACCTTGCTCTCAGCCGGACAAGAAGGAGGGCGGATGGATTGGCCACCTGTCCTGATTGTCTCTAAACACACTCTGGGGTGGAGAAAACTTAGCACTTAACCTCCTGCAAATACTTTCCAACTTTGGCCTATACTTCATGGACTACATGGAAAAGTATTTTAAAAAGAGACAGTTTGACAGCTATTTTTAGGTATTCGTTGAGCAAAACACTCTCCAACATCTGCTCATCAGTCAGCTATCCCTCCTCTGAGCAAACCTGATGGGATGAGCAGAAGGAAGATGACATTGTTTTATGTAACAGAAGTAAATTTACTGGAAAAACTATGCAGCAGCCTTCTAGCTGGCTCTTGCTGCGTATTATATATAAATCTTCGGTCTCCCCTTCGCTGGCTTGTGCTGGAAACCAACCATCCAAGTGCACAAGCTGGATAGAGGATAAGGCTTGGGAACTCCGTGCGTTCTTATATTTTCCTCGTGGTTTTAGAGGTGCCTGTACAGAAATGTGCTGCTTCAGCTTCTCTGAAACACGTGACTCAGGCAAAGTGATGAAGCAGCACAGGGAGGACGGGGAATATTCAAGACGGTAGTCGCAGCCAATAGCAACCCCAGGGCTGAAAGATGTTCACATAAATCATCCAGTGACTGATTTCACAGAACAGTATGCGAGAGGGGCGGCTGGCTTGCAGGCAGCCTGCAGCGTGCAGCGGGGCAAAGGTCCTAATACAAACGGCTTGCAGCAGTCATTCAGTGCTGCTAGCACGAAAGCCGGTGTCAAAAAGAGCCTGGCCTTGTGGGCAGGTGCACATCTTTTTTCTTTTTTTGTTGAAAGCTGTTCTGAGATAAGCAGGTAAACTTGAAAAGCAGCATGGAAACATATTCTGCATTATTCCTTGCTAGTTTGAATTTTTATTTGCCCTGCAACTGTCCTGCAGTGTGGGAACCAGCCTGCTCCCATTCCTCCTGGCCTTGAAAAATGAGAGGGGGAAACCCAGGGAAATGAGTCATCAAGTAGCTCCTGGAAGAAGAGAGACCTAGATTTAGTAAATGCAGAACGTATTCCATAACCCAAGCTTCCCAGCTGAAAGAGCCAGCAAATTCAGGGTAACGGCGTCCTTCTAGCTAAGCTGGACATCGCAGAGGTTGGTTCTTTGCCAGGTCGGCCAAAGTTGCATTTATCATTCATCTGTTTGAAGTTGTCCCTCCCAGGAACCACATGGTGAGGCTGAAGGACAGTTTATTATAGCATTGCAATAGTTCGCATTGTGGACCAGCAGCTGCGTGTCACCAGCTGGCGGTTCGTCTGTGTGACTAAGCATCTAGAGTTCCCAAATATAGCCATTCAACTGGAGCTGTTGGCATATTTTTTTTTCCCCTTCATTTTTTTCTCTTCCTATATAATAAAGGCAGGCAAAGTCATCTCATGATGACCCCCATGTTATTTCTTTTCGGTCAAGAGGCCACAGTCCAGACCGGGCCAGCATAGCATCTGATATTTGGCCTTGCAAAGTTTCTAGTCTAAATCATCCAGACAGGCGAAGCACAGGGGGGACAAAGTGATTTGCTCAATGTCACACAGGTCGGTGGCAGAGCCAGAAATTCAGCCCAGGCATCCAGAGCCTCCATGTGTCACGCTGTCCCCTGGACCACATGTGCTTCAGGCAGGCGTGTTTGAAGAAGTCCTCATGATTCAACTGAAGCCAGGATGGCGAGTTCATGGATAAGGCAGGGTCGGCAAAACAGGGAGGCAGACAGAACTTGGTGTGTTACGCTTTTTGCCAGAATACTGATCCATTCAGTCTTTTTAGGTCAGGAGGTCTTCAGAGCAGTGCTTGCCTACCGATTTGTGTTCGTATGATGTCCAGCTAAGCTCAGGCTCAGTACCAATGGGTATCCATCTAGAGTCCAAATATAGCCATTCAACTGGAGCTGTTGGCATATTTTTTTTCCCCTTCATTTTTTTCTCTTCCTATATAATAAAGGCAGGCAAAGTCATCTCATGATGACCCCCATGTTATTTCTTTTCGGTCAAGAGGCCACAGTCCAGATCGGGCCAGCATAGCATCTGATATTTGGCCTTGCAAAGTTTCTAGTCTAAATCATCCAGACAGGCGAAGCACAGGGGGGACAAAGTGATTTGCTCAATGTCACACAGGTCGGTGGCAGAGCCAGAAATTCAGCCCAGGCATCCAGAGCCCCCATGTGTCACGCTGTCCCCTGGACCACATGTGCTTCAGGCAGGCGTGTTTGAAGAAGTCCTCATGATTCAACTGAAGCCAGGATGGCGAGTTCATGGATAAGGCAGGGTCGGCAAAACAGGGAGGCAGACAGAACTTGGTGTGTTACGCTCTTTGCCAGAATACTGATCCATTCAGTCTTTTTAGGTCAGGAGGTCTTCAGAGCAGTGCTTGCCTACCGATTTGTGTTCATATGATGTCCAGCTAAGCTCAGGCTCAGTACCAATGGGTATCATGGGCAGATGAAGAATAAGCAAGTAGGATCTTTTTATTATTGCACTGGACCGAGATGCAGGAGATCTGAATTGTTTCCAAATCTGCTGCAGATTCATTCTGTGATTTTGGAGAATTTCCTTAAACTCTCTGCATCCTAGTTCTCCCTCTGTCTTTCTCCATCTGACTTTAATGTCTACAGACTCAGTAAGGGAGACTGATGTTTGTGCAGAGAAGGGTACAAAGCCTTTTCCTCTGGTCCCACTTAAAAAAGGAAGAAAAGCAATGCAAGACGATAGTTGAGAAAAAGGCAGAAAAATTCTCCCTCGTTTTACACTGTTTGGAATAGCATATTTGCGCTAATGGAATGGAGGGTATAGAAAACAAAATTAAAATAATGCTGCTTTCCTCTAGATGGTATTGATCAGCAGCTCGGGTTGCTCCCACTGTGGCTTCCTTGCTCGGGCAAGCCAAAACACCTACCCGACCTACTGCATCGCCTTTGGGGTTCACTGCCATGACACTCACAGCACAACAGCCCTTCCGCTTTTGTCTCAGACTCAGGAAGATGAATAATGGGGGGGATAAACCATGTTGCCTCCCAAGTCAGGGAACGCTTGGAGAATGTTTTCCTTCAGCGTTTCACTTGGTGCTGAAACAGCTAGGATGGTTACACCCTCCATACCCTCTTCCTAGGCCAAGGGCATGCAACCAGATGTTAATAGAGTATTTCTCAGCATGATTATCAGCTTCCTTGTCCTGATTACCATGGCTAAAAGGAGAAATCAGAGTGGGCAGATGATCAGGCAGCCCCTTGCAGTTTTCTCTGTAATGCCACGTGCCACTGAAGAAGACATGGAAACAGCAATGTTTGTAGGAGCTACCCTGGATATTGGGTATTGCGAGGCAGTGATTATTGAAGGAACAAGCATACAATACTGTAACACACCTCTTTGGAGCCAAATTTTGCTGTTCTTTGCAGCACAGGTAGGGACAGAGCTGTTTCAGGCTGTGCTGCTTGAGATCTCTGGGGAACCTTCCTTTTGCAAAACTGGTTCATGCAAAATGCTGAGGGACGTTGAGGCAGAACCCAGCACTGTCCTCCCAAGGCACTGTACACAGGCCGTCTCCAGCATCTCCTGACGCAGGCTGTGAAGCCCTGTGCATACTGGGTCTGGCATGTCCTTAGCAAGAGAAGTGCTGTGGGTCTGCTGTAGGTTGCAGCGGGAACAGCAGTTGCAAATGAGATGTTGCCTATCAAAAAAAGGACTCGTAGTGTTTCAGGGTGTGTTTTGTGTATTGCATGCTTACTCATAGGCAGGAGTTGATGGAGACTGTCACGTCATAACAACTGGATTTTGTTTTCAGAGCCATTTTCTGATTTTGTTTTTACTTGCTCCTTTCTCAAGAGTAATCTGGGAGCAGCCTCAGTATAAGTGTTTGGGTTATTTTATGGATTGTTCTTTCTTACTCCTTACAGGGTTACTTAAAGCAGTGCCGGAAGAGGAGGGATATGTTCAGTGATGAACAGCTAAAAATCATCTTTGGTAACATCGAAGATATCTACAGATTTCAGATGGGTTTTGTCCGGGACTTGGAGAAACAGTACAACAACGAGGACCCCCATCTCAGTGAAATTGGACCATGTTTCCTTGAACACGTAAGTTAATCTGGCATTTTTGTTTGGGAGTTTTGGGGTTGGTTTTGGGGGACGGGGGCTGGGGGAGAGGAGTAGCAGAAAAAGTCAGGAGGCAAGAACCACTCAGAATAACTTTTGGCCCTCCATTTACTTTGTGAGATGCAGAGAAGGGAGAATTTGAAGTGAAGGATATAGTTGGATAACCCCCCAGTACATCTGAATCCCAACACCTTTTCACATCCCCCCTTACTCATGTTATGTAGGCGCAATGTCCCTCACCTACTGCCCACCTTCTTTTGCTCTTCAGAATAGAACTTAAACCCACTCGCAGGCCATCCTAATCAGGTCATGGATGACCAGAAGGTTGGAAGAGGTAAGAGAGTCCAGAGGAGTAAAAAGAGGCCTTGGTTGTGCATTATACAAAAAAAGTAGAGGAGAGCAAACACCTGGGCTGTTCGCTGTGGCACCGAGATGCACTTGCAAGGGATGAAAAACCCGTGCAGCTTCAGTTGCCTTCCCCTGCGGAGCTGCTGGGCTGGGTGGGGAGGTGCCAGCTAGTGCTTCTTGCTGCCCGGGTGGCAGCAGGGCAGCAGATACTCGCTCACGCTAAGTGCATGCTGAACAGGACATTTTAGCTGACAATATAGTCCTGGAGGCTTTTGCCCAGCCCATCGTACTGTTACATAAGCCACATACTACAGGAGCTGATAAATTGGCCAGTGTTGTAAAGATGTCAGGAAATGTCAAGAAAATTATAGTCCTGCAGTTCTAGGCTTTCCTTTAGGGAGAATGAAGTGCTGTATCAGAGCTTACGTATGAGGTGCTCCAACCCGGGATGCAGATCCTGTATGTGTTACCTCATTACTTACAGTCAGGGCTGAGCTGGCAACAGTTCGCTTCTTAATAGAGAAATTTCTGATAGACATCCATGAAACTTCAGCAGGGCATCCCTGAAAAGGTTCACCGCATCTCTTAAGCATCATTGGTCTTCTAATTGAAAAGCAGGTTTCTTTTTGAGAAGTTGCATGATGGTGTTAACGTTGCTCATTTTTATCAAGAGCCTGCAATCTCTGCTGCTTGCTTCCAAAGCAGCATCGTATTCCACCTCTGTGCTAAAAAGATGTAAGAAATCTTGGTGAGAATCAGTAGCTAAAACTTCATGTCTTGAGGCTGTGCTGTCAATTCATTTATAGTGACAATAGTAAGAATTACTACCGTTATTCAGAGGAATATCTGACACTTATCTGTCATCAGAGAGGGGCTAAAGGCTGGCTAATAAACTCCTGATAAATTATCCCTGTTTAGCCATTTGGGGAAACTGAGGATGAGGACACTAAGATCCTGTTATATGGATCTGCAGAGCATCTTGTTCCTTGGCTGCTTCGGGAAGAGGGAGGTGTTAGTGCTTGGCTCTTGGTCAGCTGTGGGGATGGGAAGGAAACCGGGCTCCCCTATTCCCAGAAAGGCAGGTTATTTGGGCCCTTACGGGACTGAGAAATAAGAACTGCTGGTCAAGTGTATTTTTAAAAAAAAAGAATCTGTCCTTCCTATAGTTTGTGAGGCATTGGCCACAACCTGATGTCGCATCTCAGGCTGTTGACCTACAACACCTGGGCTTATATCTGGGCTGTCTCAACTACAGTCTTAATATGTGACATTGGGCAGTCAGTTTGCGTCTGTCTCTCCCAGTGTAATCTTTCTTTGACCTTTCGTCTGCCTCGTCCGTGTGGCCCACACGAATCAAGCCTGAGTTAAGGGTGACGAACTGCCATGGCCCCATCTGTGGTCAGTGAAGGCAGAAAAAGGAGATTCTGACAAAATTAGCACAAAAGGACTTGTTAGACCAGTGCAAAGGGTCGGTGGGCACACATGCAAGGGGATTTTTTTTTCTTTGTTTCTCCAGTCTTTGGTGTTTTGTGGCTTTCTGGTCCTGGGGAAATCCACACAGTGGTTGGTGCCTTGGGTTCCCTGTTGGTAAAGGGAATTTCAGATATACCCAGCTCCTAAACACTTGCCAGGTGCTTCATGATCTTTCAAGGAAAGAGCTCTAGAAATGACAAGGTTGTCTTCTTGTATTATCAAAGGCCAGAGCTCTGCTTGGTTCTACCTTTACCTTTTAAAAAGAAAACCCCACCGCACAATTTGAAACTGAGAACACCCACAACGCGGCGCAGGGGTTCACTTTAACACACCCTGTACCTACAGAGACCTCAGCGATGTGTCGGTATGCAGGTCCCTCTCTGCCTCCCTTTTCCCCCAGAGCCACCATGCAGCACCTCTTCCAAGCAGGAAAAGTGCTCTAGGATCAGTCCTCCCTCCTCCTGCTTGGGGTATTCTTTCTTCTTTAGTTGTAATGTGTTCTTGTTGGCAAGTCGGGTGGCTGACTGCTCGCGGCACTTGTCTGACGTGTACTCCCCTCTGTGTGCATCCCTTTTCTCCTGCCTCTCACAGCAAGATGGCTTCTGGATCTATTCGGAGTACTGTAACAATCATTTGGATGCATGCATGGAGCTTTCCAAGCTGATGAAAGATAGCAGGTACCAGCATTTCTTCGAAGCGTGTCGTCTGTTGCAGCAGATGATTGATATTGCCATAGACGGTTTCCTTCTGACGCCAGTGCAGAAGATCTGCAAATACCCCCTGCAGCTCGCAGAGCTGCTGAAGTACACCGCGCAGGATCACAGGTACGCCGATCTCTTATTACATGGAAGGATTTTGCTCACTGCTTCTTCACATGGCCTCTGCACAGGGGTTGGGTTTTTTTCTGTCCAGCTCTTCTCTTCATGACATCTTGTATAAATTGAAGCAGGGCAAAGGTTCAGCAGACAGTTAGAAAGCTTCTCAAAGCACTGATTCTCAATGGAGCCAAACTCATCTCTGTTACAATCAGACATGTGAACTAATTACCCTTGGATGTACTTTCTGATGCTACCGGTTACACGAGAAAAATTACCTAATTAGCATTCCGTGGTCAGAAAGGCTCGTTCCTTTATCCTGAAGAGGACCTCAGCACATAGCAAGTAGAGGATCCGCAACTCAAACCTGAATACGCTCAGATTTGGGGAGAATTCAGAACCTGCTCTGCTTTTCAGCCTGATTCCATCTCTGATTTTGCCATTGGGTTTAGGTTCAGAGGAGCACCCGGCAGTTTGATTGCTTCCCAAAATTTCCAGGATCTCTTTTGCTGCTGCTGAGTGCAATCAACCTGACTCCCTGACCTGATGTAAATCAAGAATAATACCTATGATATCACTTGCGATATACTGCTATAAAAATAAGGTGAAAGAAGAATCAGGCCCCCTTAAAGAAGATTTTCTCCTGGCTTGCCAATTTTCTTTTTTTTTTCCAAAACCCATTTAAAAGGAAGTGCTTCAGAGAACAAAAAAACCCACAGATGTTTCAGAAACTTCTGCAGGTGTTTGATTTTTTTGTTTTTCCCCAAACCCAGCTCTAAAAGTGCAGAGAGACGTGATATGAGCAAAGAGATGCATTGATTTGCTTTGACCTGATTCACCAGTTTGATTCATACTAGCTGAATGCCCGGTTCAAAATCACCAATTTGGACATGCATTTGGCTCCAGATCCAATTTCTGGTTTTTCCTTCATAATGAGACCAAACCAAACTTGGAGTGGACTCATGGGAACATTAGGGTATCAGAAACCAGCTCTAGGATCCCAAATGTTGTGGCTTTTTTTCCTTCCCAGCCATGTGATGTCCCCACAGTACTTACAGATGCGGCTTTACAATGGGAAGACATAAGCAGCCTCAGAGAGAGGAGGTCTGTGTTTAAACTGACCTTCTCTGAGTTATTTGGTAGCAATACCAAAGGGGATGCGGACAGTGTGATTACACAAGGGTTGAATTATTTTGGGAGTACATTCCTTTTTCCTTTGGCATGTTTTAAAATCAACGCGTTGTTAAGTAATCAGATATAGTCATATTCTGAGGAGACTCGGACCTTTCCTGTGGTTAAGCAACAATTAGTTGATTCAGACTGAGAGCTTTTTTTTTACTGGATTGTGTCAGTGATCGGACACAGCCATGGACACAGTTTCTCTTGTTTCTTCATTTTCTGAAAAGGGAAAGCAGGATTATATTTGCTTGCCTTGCATTAGTAAAGAGTAAGCCCCCTGAAGCTGTAACACAGTGCATATATGAAACTCATGCCTGCACAGAGCGCCAGCAGAAGACCTGTGCCTCATCTCAGCCCTGGAGCATGGCGTACTTCCATTAGTGCGGGCATGCCCTGGAGAGTTTATTGACTCATGGAGGAATGGCGTTATAACACAGGAATGGGGTGGGTTATACCACACTTCCCTGTGGTCTAGCTCCTCCGATTCAAGCGTTCAAAGAGCCTGGGAGGGACCGGTCCTCCAGGCAACTCAGCTCGCATCCCAGACAAGCTTAATGCCACGAATGGGGAAAGCGAGGCACAGGGAGTGTGTCTTACCACCAGATGATTCTGCACTGAGGCTGTGCAGAAAACCCGGGCTGCCGTGGTTGCCTGCTTGAACTACAGATATTTTCTGCTGTTGTAATTCTGGCTTTGGGATCGGGGCTGAGACGAGCAAAGCCTGAGATTGGAAAAGCAAATAATCTTTGGGGAATGTCATGTTGTGACAATACCAGACGCAGGGAAAAGCCAGATCCCTGCAGGTTGGGAAACCATCAGGGTCAGCTGTGAATGAAGGAAACTGAGAAGCCAACTGGGGAGCTTCAGCTCATTCAGGGCCCATTAAGCAGGCGGTGAGTTGTCCTCGTACGCTCGCAGTTTGTCAGTGCTCGCAATTAGATTGCAAGTCTGAAACAGAAGCTAGAAAATTATAGAGTGGACTAATACTCACAATGAAATCAGGCTCATCATTGGCTGGATTAGGAGTCTGTTAGGCACTCCGATTAGAATGTAATATGTAGGAAATACTGTTCAAATCAATTGAACCATTTACGGAGTAAGACAAAACTTAGAAAGGACCAGGAGTCCCAGTGAAAGCAAATATGCTTCATCTAACAGTGGGGCATTATATTCTTTTTTTTTTTTTTCCTTCCTCTTCAGTAAGTTAGCTTCATCTAACAGTGGGGCATTAGATTCTTTTTTTTTTTTTCCTTCCTCTTCAGTAATATCGTACTTGTAGAGCTACGGATCTTCCCTGTACCAGGTCAGGACAACAGAGCTGAAACCAGAAACCTGACCACTCTCCCCCAAGATAGCATGTGATATTTGGCAAGAGTCTAGACTTGCATTCTGATTGAGCACTGGAAGGAGGTCATTGCAGCCCCAATATAATTGTCAAACAATTAATTTCATAGCTAATGCTATCCTATTATTATTTTGCTGGCCAAATGCTTTGCTTCTGTTATTTTTTCTTCTAAGTTTTTGCCAGCTCTGCCACAGACATGGGCTAGGAGCCCAAAAAGTTCAGTCATGACTCTTTCTTCATTACTGCGTGAAAGAAAAATGTGCATGGGGTTTTCTCTTCAAACAGAACATTAGAATTAGTGAATTAGCATTACCAAGATAAAACCCAGCTTGATTGGCACTGGTGCACTCCGCATGGAGGCAGGCATGGGGGTGTTTTCAGAGCCTGGCTCCCTTCAATTGCTTATTGTTTTGAGACCGATTCATTTGAATTTTTCACAAAGCCACATCTGTTCACCTCTTCAAGATTTACTCCAGCTTAATATAAATTAAATATATGAAGGTCCTAAGCGCAGCTTGCTGGTGTCCTGAGCGTTCCTGCTGCAGAACTGAGCTGGAGTTAAAAGTGTATGAACACGTTACGTGAGAAAGAGGAGACTCTGCTAACAGGTGGACTGACATTAGCCTCCCTTCTTTGCACGAGCATAATTGCTAGGAGGTTATTAGTGACTGTCTCTAAATCCTACACCTCTCCCTACCCCTACAGATCCTTTCTGGCCATAGCGACTTACCTATTTCCTTACAAGAACTCATGGACATTTTTAAGACCAGACTAATGTCTCTCTGGCATAGCTCCGTTTCTCCCTTACACAATCAGGCGCTCACTTCATACAGATGGCCCTGCAAAGGAAGGCACAAGAAATTCTTCATTGTGTATCATGACGGATATGTCAGACAGCCCATCCTCTGTTCTCTTTTACTTTGTTGAAGGACCAGTCCTGATGTTCTGGAATTTGTAGGGTTTTTTTTTTTTAACCTCACCTAGAATTTTGATGTAAGAATTGAATAAAAATTGAAAACACATCTCAAGATTCATCCAAGAAAGGATGGCAAAATAGCAAATAATATTCTGTTGTATACCATATTGTGATTGTTTCTTAATATTTATCCTGTTTGGATCACATGGGGAAATTGATCTAATTCACAGCATTCATCCCTATTTTAGCTGTCACCAGTGCAATTCTTAGCAATAATCAATAAAGCCATTCCCCCTGCAGCTGCCCAAGATCGCAGTTTTTCTCATTAGTCAGCAATCAATATCAACCCTTAAGTTAATAATATGTTACAGTGGCATTACGGCAGCTGGCCTTGTCTGTTTTTCCGGTTGAAATGAACTTTAAGGTTCCTTGGAATGGAAAAGAAGGCGCAGGGCGGAAATCAATAGCATTGATTTCAGCATCACTTTTTGAAAAGACTGATCATCATCTTTGCTGGCCCTGGCGGGAAGCTATTTTCACTCTTTGTTATTACACTCACAGGCCCGTCCAGAAAAAAAAAAAAAAAAAAAAAAAAAAAAAAAAAAAAAAAAAAACGCAGGCAGGGTTTCACTCTGTGCGTTATATAAGAAAGGCTGTTTGGGTTTT